GGTAGGTCACATGGCGATCTTGTAATATAAGTTCGTGCACGGCATCAACGGTTTCCGGAACGACAACTGATTTCGGTCGACCTCCACGAAATTCGTCTTCAAGTGAATTACGACCTCAGGTGAACTCACTGTACCATCGATATACACTGGCCCTGGATGGAGCTTCATCACCAAAAATTGAACTAAGTTCATCCGTGCATTGTTGTTGAGATAGACCACGTCGAAAGTTGTAGAAAATTATCGCGCGAAAATGCTCACGACTCAACTCCATAACTTGGCCTAAACAAAATCTTATAACTTAGGGTAAACAGCACAAATCGCGCTCAAATTTCGCAACGGAACCTCAAAATAGTCAAACTTTACGATAGTGGTGTCAGTTGCTAGATTGCTACACTAGTGTTGCCAAATCTCAAAATATAAAAGGCAACCCTCGTACACTTTTGCTACCTTTCATTTCGATTGTACACTTCAGCTTTTCTCGGATCTTCATGCGATCACCACTGGCATTTTTCACAGTAATGTTTGTCTTTTCCAGCTTCGGAGTTCTCATTTTCTTCCAGACATCTTCAGTTAGTAACGTTATGTCCGATCCCGTATCAAGCAGAAATCAACTGAATGTTTGTTCACAACTGCCTCGACGTACATCCATGTATTGCTAACATTTGCAGCATATTTGAAATCTTTGGACATCGAACTTGTCTCTTGGAATCTTGATTCAAATGCTTCTTTTTGTCGTTGCGGTGATGACTCCTTCTTGAAGTCTTGATACGCTTAGCTGTTTTCTGCTGATATGCAACGTCGCAGAATTTCTCTCTGTGGTCACTTGTCTTGCACTTTTTGCAGAACTACGACTTCTTTTCATTCTCTTGCGTAGTGCTTTCCTACACAGTTCCAACAGACAATGAGCTTTTGATCTTCTTTCACTGTTGCTTTGACGGCCTTGAGATCTCCGGCGATAGTCTCACAATCTCTTTTGAGATTTAGAAAGTTTTCGCATTCCTGGTACAACTCATGTAAAGGTACTGCGATGAGCCGTTGCCGAATTTCTGCTTCTGACTGAGACATTAGACCGAATATCCAGAGCAAGATTTCGGGGAGCGGAGGCGGTGTAGTGGGACGTGGCGCACTATATCACACACACGGTCAGGGGCTTGAATCCCGGATCGATGCCCGCCTAGGCCAACCAAACCTTCCATCCCTCCGGGGTCGGTGAATTGGTACCATACTCGTCTGGGAGGATAAAAGCACTGACTTGTACATCGGCTGGCCACCGCAAGTCATTGTACAGGCCACATACGCACTCATTACGCCACTACGATTCTAAATTGAAGTCGAGTGCGGGGGCGCATCCCTCAGACGGGATTGATTAACGCCAAAAACTTTATCCTTTTACTTTATCCAGAGCAAGCACTTGATACCGTCCGAATCTGAGTCATGAAGTTTTGCTTTCTCACAAAATTCGTTCACTCTACCTGTATAGGCAAGGTAACTCCGTTGTCGTTTTTCTCAAGCCTTAAACATTGGTGTTTGGTTGTGAACTCGGAATGATTCGAAGTCGAACAAGTGGCTCAGATAGTCGTTTCTTGAAAGCGGATGTCTGACACGTTCCCTGGTAACACGTGCCGCTGATACTTCTCAAAAGTAACATTATCAAGCTTTTCACAGAGAAGTTTCACCCTTGCAGCTTCAGGAATTTGTCGTGCATCTTCTGTGAACACTTCCTTGTACATTGAGTACTATCTGGAAAATCCCACCGCCAGGTGGCATCGAACACAAACTTTCCGAACCGGTTACTCAATGCGGCCATTACGTTCTGCATTGGAACTTCTTCAGTCTTGGCTCGGTCACCAGCTCCATCTTCCACACGGTGCAAGAGTATATGAACCAGTTCTGTGTGCTGCCTTCGCTGTTCTTCGAGCAGTTCCTTGAGGAGAGCCATCAGCTGCTGTAGATCCATTCTTCGGCTCCCTGATCGACAGTTGTTGTGTCCTTTCACTCCAGCAAGACGACCGGTTTATTGTAGTCGTGACGATACAAGCAAAAAGAAAAAAAANTCGATTAATTTCATTCATAAAAAGTCGGCCGTTTCATGTGTTTCTTAAGGCCCAGAGTTACTGCGAGCCACGGATCACGCCCATACCACGAATCCCGCCCACTCGCGTGTGTGAACAATGACACCATCTGTTCGGTTAGTGATTGGCTAGTTGTCTTGCCGCGTGTTTTGTCTTAGTCAGTTGTCTCAAGTGCTTGAGACAACTAACTAAGACATTTGAGTTGCTTTGGCACGCGCCCATTCAATGCGTCGCCCGTCACCCGCACTTCTACAGTGAAAAAGCTCCTGCGTGTCCAACGAATAAACGTCGTTACCCTGTCGGTAGCATTCATCTCATTGGCGATAACGTTGGCATCAAGAGGAGCTATACTCATCCAATTCCATTCGGCAGGCCCAACAGGACCTACGAGCATGGATGGAGGAGGAGCTGTTGCAAGAGCCCATTTCTCTGCTTCATCTTGGGCTATTCGTTCCAAGCTGAGTAGGTACTCCTGAAATGATAAAAATGAAAATTTGCATAATCAATGGGTCTGTGAATGAATCCGTCCTTACCAATCTATTCATCTGGCCAGCCATTGGTAAGGTAACGTTGTTGTCGTTCATCGCTTTACCCAGAGCGATCGCTGATCTGTAATCGATAGGAAGATTTCATGTGAGCATTGTAGAACATGATTTGAGGGATCTAGATAAACTTCAGGGACCATAAGGGAGTGACAATGCGAAAAATTGGGTCACTACCTGGGAAGAATTCACTTTCTGAATCAGGTCCCACCGACGAATCCTGTGTAGAAAAAAGAGACGGGTTTTCAAGTATGTGACAAAACTCGTCCAAACCTACCTGAATCCGTTGTGCAAGTCAAGGGCCAGCCTGGCTATGGGATTATAGTAACACATCGATCTGGCAATGCACACTTCAAAAATGGTTGATGTACAGTCGATGTTTCTTCTGCATGGCGTACCGATCTCATAAACAACTTCACCATTCTGGACGTCCCTGGAAGATTTGTTTATTTTTTTACTCACTTGATTATTTTGAAAAATAGTTTGAAAAAAATCCCTAAATATTAGGTTGGAAGATAAGTCTTGCAACACTTTTGACAAAATTCAGAATTTTCTATTACTTTACAAAACAAAACCTTCACTCTACAACATAATCACCATGATTGTGTAGGACACGTGCCCGTCTTCGGGCAGCTTCTCTAGATTGTCCCTCTCTTCCAGAATTCCGGTGGCTGCAACAAGAAAAAGTACTCGATTCCATTTTCGAGTTCACGAAGATCAAAACTTTTTTGCTTAGATGGTGCTTCAGTGCTCTGAATAGGTGACAATTAGAAGGCGCTAGGTCCGATGGGTAAACCGGATGCAGTACTACCCAACCGAGTTCCATAATTTTTTGCGCGTTTCGTTGGCTACACGCGGGCGTGCGTTATCGTGAAGTTGGGAGACATTGAGTCTTTTCGGGTGAAGTTCTCGCCCTACGTCATCCGCTTTTTGCACTTGGTTAGCGTTCGCTGAGGCCGTCTCTGTCGAGCAGCTCTCAGTAGATGGTTTCTCCACAGTCCCACTAGCAACACAGCAAAACATTCTTTTCATGAAAACCTACACTCGGCTCCGTAGGGACATCGAGACACAGTCGAATATAAACAACGTCCTTCTTGAAGACAGCGCAGATGTAAGCAGCAGCGGCTTTGGCAAAGTGTCCCTGCAGGATTTCGTAGCGGACAATAGATCGGGTAATAAATTGATCCGTTATGGAGTCCAATAGCACAGATCCTTCACGGAGCCCTTTTATGGCCATTTTCGAAGTCCTTCAGGAACACTCTACAGCAATCAGGCACGAAAACATTTTAAGAGGGCTTTTTTCATGGAAGAAAATGCTCAGTGTTGCAGGACTTATCTCCCAGCCTAGTAATTTAATTTAAAATTTTTAGAAAGTAAAAAATGAGTAAATAATTTAATTCAAAATGTTTGAGAAATGAAAAAATTTTGAAAATTCTGAGTTATTTCAATAAATATTCCAATGAAAGATGTGTAGTAATTTGAACAACTAGAGCGAGAATACATAAAACAGCGGACATGCCCATGGCGGGTGGAGAGAGCGGGCTGGTAGATTATCTTCATTGGTGAAGCCTTTTATGCTCGTTGAGGTATCTATTGAAAGCGAAATGGTAGAAAACTCCCGAGCTCGGCATCCGTCCGCTGCTTTCGACGCGAATCATAGTGGGCGATGATGGCGAGCATCGACAGACTTACGGTGAATTGAAGAAACAGATTGCAGTGGACGAGTTCCTCTGTTCACCCGCGCAAGTCGCACTTGAACACCCAACCCTGGTCGTATTGGCTCGAATAATCTATAATTATATAATTATTTATGTGCTATGAAGCAAAAAACATCTCACAGGCCAATTCAGCTTGTACTCAATACATTCTAAAATCAATTAGCTTTTCAAAAGTGGAGCGTGTAGTAATTGAAATATTGTGAGCAGCCGAAAATCGCGTTGATACTTCATAAACTTGCGGCAGTGTCTGTCTAAATTCCAATATCTCAGTTTAAACGATGACTTGGTGACTTTACGTCCGAGTTTTATGTTGCTCAATGATTGCACTTATGTCAGTTTTGTATGGATTGATAAAATGAAGGGATTACAGCGTATGGGTACTTCTAAACGATTTCCCCCGACGAGCGGCAGTAGTTTTGCGGGGGCTACCGTATACTTCCACTGGGAATTCGAACTTTTCGCTTCATAGCGCGCGATTGCGCACGGTTGGGTGTGACGAGCGCGATGTGGTTTTCAGGGAGAAGTACCCACACTCGGGTATATGGAATCTCAATGTGGAGAAAAAGCCACAGTAGTTTGAATGCTTCTTGATTGAAGTTGATCAATTGGCACTTTACTGATTTTTTTGACTATGAAATGCTAATTATTTTGAAAAAACCAGACAGCTTTTGAAGTTATCTACTTCCCAGTTTTGTGTTCGACCCGTAGAAAGTCGAGAAAACGCTTGTCATCGATCGATAACTATGTTTTTTGTGGCAGCTGACTAGAGTTCGCTCAAGTTTGAACACAGTGTTCCCCCTCCTTTTCCCAGGTATCATTTTTTCTTTTAATGGCAACAATTTTCACCTCCTATATAGTGAATCCTACGGATCTCCTTCACTGTGTTCTCTCTCACTGAAGGATTCCCAGCCGGTTAGTGACGAGGCTACGTAGGGCGTCCCCAGGTGGCGGATAGGGGAATTAATCGCCGACCAAAACTCACCGGTACTTGCTCAGAGACGCAGGTGCATTCAGAGGATGGACTCATTGATTTTGCTGTGCTGGGTCGATATACCCTCTGTTTCTCGCAGGCGTACCTACGCATACGTGTATGGAAAGTCTGTGGATGAAGTTGGTATCCTGCCCATCGACTAGGCCAAAAGCTTGCATTCGAGTGACGAAGAAGACACGCTGAGAAGTATCTGGGAGGCGATTCGGGACCGCCTCCAAAAACAAAGCCCCTCGTCCAACCCCTCACGTCAGAGCCTGGCAAGCTACAGGATGGGTTTTTTTCACACGCCAAAAACAGTAATAAAAATGGGCCTCA